ATTCATTGGACAAGCATTTGTCAACAAGCACTGTACTAATGATGTCCTAAGCATTCATATTATTTAATCCTCATAATGACCTAGGAGACGAATATGATCATTATCATGTCCATTTCACAGATGGGTAAGTGGAGGCTCAAACAAGTTAAGTGCTTGCCCAGAGCCAGAACATAAACCCAGGAAGTTTGACTTTAGAAAAATATCAGCCTGGGGAAAATAGCCTACAAAGATATTTTGCATAAATAGCCAAAAAAAGTTGCACATGATTTAATTAAAGAGAATAAATAGTAACTGTATATGAGTTAGAAGTAAACCTAGTTTGCTGGATCATAACTGCTAAGAAAATAGCCTTCTACTTAGTAATCATTTTTGCTTTGCTTTTCTATTTTCTTGAGGCCTGTTTTTCCATTCTTGAGGATTCTCAGTTGGCAGGCTCAGCAGACACTGGCCCAGAAGTCAGAGCCTGGCCGGGAGCCTGCTCCACGGTTAACCCCTGCTCGGCCTCCCCATGTCTGGGCCTCAGCCTCCTTGCCTCCCCTGAGCACGGGCCCCAGGCCCTTCCAGCGACACTCTGCGTTCCACAGAGGTGAAGCCAATCTGAGACCCCAACCCTCCTTGTTTAGGGCTTCAGGGGTCCTGAGCTTCTTGGTGAGAAAGAAATCCCTGCAGGAGCCTCTCCAGAAGGAGCAACGAGAGGGGGACCGTCGCCTGGGGAGGGGCTCCAAGCAGGCCTCTCCAGTCCCTGCAGGCTGTAGACACCTGCCTTCAGCCCGTCCACAGCAAGTGCAGGGCTTGGCTGTGTTCCGCCTGCAGCCCCAGGTGGCCGGTGGGCCCCGCGGGCAAGGTGCCGGCTCAGAGCTGCGGCGCCAGCATCACCGTGCTCCCTGGGGAAGCGTCCTCGAGTCCTCTGGTCTCAGGCACCCCTTCTGAGGAATGAGGACCGGGCATTTAAATCAGCCACTCACAGGGTGAGTGTGGGAAAAGAGCCCAGCAAGTCAGTGTTTATAAAGACTTCTGAAGCGCAGCCGGGTAGGAGAGACGGAAAGGCTGCCGTTAGCAGGACTCTTCCGAGGACTGAGTCACGCGGTGAACCCTCCTCGGGGACTCAGAACAGCACTGGCACTCCGTGAGTGCTGCACAACGACTTCAGAGTAAGCGGGGGGCAGGTATGTCCTCTGTCCCCCACAGACAGACAGCGGGACCACTGCCTCCAGCAACAAACTCCTTCGGAATAAAGAGTCCCGTGTCCTGAGGGCTCAGCTTCCCGTCGGTCCTGAGGACGCATGCAGAGCTCTGTCAGGAACAAAAGCAAACCCTCTGGTGCTGCCTGGGGGGCCCATCCCATCTCGGGTCGCCCAGCAGAAACGAAACCACCAGGGTCGTGGCTGGGGCTCCCGTGTTGTTAAAAGGCAACACACACACTACGGGGGCACACGCTCCCACGTTGGACACCTCACTTCACACATGCAGGGCTTAAGGTTATAGTTTTTTCCAAAAGAAAGCTGTCTGCAACAGAATATCGTTAGCACTTTTACAGTTACACCTAATTACATTAGAACTTTCACAAAGATCTGCAAAGATCTTTTACAATTCTTATACTAGCAATCAGCACAAACATAACTTTACTGAGAAATATGACCTTCCAATGGTCAAGAACGAGGTGATTCAACAGAGCCCCTCACTGTGTTCAGCCTCCCCTTGCAAAGGAGCCTGACCCCCCCTTCACAGAAGTTAAGCTAATTTACTAATTCCTGCCGCCTTTTCATCTGCAAATTACCCCCCAAACTTATAAGAACAGCAGGAGTCTCTGGGCAGTCAGGGCAGTCTTCACTGACTTACTAAATACCATTCATTAAAAACTTTCAGAAACACTTTTCAGCTATGAAAACTGTTTAGCATGCGTCTTTATAACTTCTCATCATTCTTTCACATCCTCAGGAACAACTTCTAGTTGCTTCCTCACGGCCGCCCCCCAGTAACAGACTTTATGGAAGCATCCTATTCAGTGGCTGAAACGGAAGCCTCTGCCCAGGATTCCAGGCAGGTACCTTCAGGAAAGCCCCCGGGGTCCTCAGGCAGCGGGCAATCCGGGCAGGATCACAGCATCCTGTGTGCAGATAAGATGCCAAAGGCAGCTCACCTGCGCCAGCTCTGCCTCTGAGCAGCAGCAGGCGAGGGGAAGACCTGTTTCTGCTTAGGTGCCAACAGGCAAGCTCCCTCCCTGCCTCAAAACTAGTTTGCACTTTCTCCTTCTCCCCTCTTAGAATAAATTTTTTAAAAGACTTTTCTTAAAAGTTAAACTACAGCGCAGTGATCTGGTAAATGGAGAAGCCGCTCTTACCTGGTGTGGAAACCCCGCAGGAATGACTGGCTCAGAGCCGGGAGCGGGTCGGGGAGGGACGAGGGGCCGCAGGAGGAGACCCAACCCCGCTCTGCGGAGGAGCTGGGCTTGGATCCGCGGCGGGCTGGCTGCGGCCGCCCCTTATATGCGCGGAGTCCGGTGCGGCCGGCAGTCAGATGCACGCGGAAGCGCTGGACTCGTTCCCCGGCGGGATGACATAATTCCTCCTCTGATCTCGCATTTGCTGGAGCACCTGGCATGGGTCCGGCCCGGCCCCCTCCTGCCCCCACCCGTGCGGCCCGCCCCTGGTCTGGCCGCAGCCGGGGGACCACGGGGGAGGAGCCCGGGGAAGACGGACTTTTCCTGCCTTCTCTCAGGAAATACAGTGCTATAAATAAAACCAGCAAGATTGGCTGGAGCTTCTTGCTGAAGAGAGAGAATGCAAGTTGTATGCTTCCAATCTGGTTCGCATTACCCAAAGTGAGAATAGTCTCTCTCAACCGAGGAAAAGGCCATCAGCAAAAAGTAAAAGAACCAGTAGGTGGAAATGGTCAGTATACGTACTGACGAAGCTGTAGGGATGAATTCATTTATCATGTGCAGAAAGTGTGGTATTTAATCTAAAGGGACATCAGTGCATCAGTTGGATGACTGAGAAACAGGATTGGGTGGATTTATTTTCATCCAAATCCTGCTTCATGCCCAGCCTGGACCCCACAGGGTGTCTGCTCCCTGGGGACACCCCGTGTGGGACCAAGAACCTCCTGCACAGACTTTCCCAGCAGCAGGAACAACCTGTAATCAGCTTCCACAGCCTCACTTAGCCCGACAGTCCCAAGGGTGGGTTACGCAGGGGGAAGCCTCCAGAAGTAAGAATGGCAGCAGCAGTGGGCTCCCCGCCCCCTGCCAGAGCACACGTGTCCCCCAGGCAGGCTGGACCGTGGGCAGAGGAGGGGGGATGAAAGGAGGGGGGATGGAGGGAGGGATGAGGCACCCCCAAAGGCCAGGCTGGGCCTTGCATAGAGGAGTGGTAGCCACAGGCTGGTAGATGGCACTCGAGGCGCCGGGCCATGGTGGGCAGAGCCGTGGACAGGTGAAGTCTGAGCTGAAGGGCGTCAGAGGGGGTTTGCTCTGAGCCACCTTGGAATCTGAGTGGTAATGTTGCTGAGGAGCCTGCTTCTCCACCTGGGTCCTTGCTGGGTGGGGATCACAGAGGGGCCACAGGCGCACACAGTCTAGCCCTGCTGAGGCCCAGCCCAGGCATCCATGGGGCGTGGGGGGCGGAGAGGGGCGGGTGGGGAGGGGGGGCTTCTGATTGAGCAGGCAGCATTTGTTACCTTGCTCACTGCTTGTATTTTTTGAAAAGATTTGTTTATGGCAACTGTTCACTTTTTACCAGGAGGACAATGTCAATTTCTGACATGCAGAGAAAAAAGAAACTTGACTCAAAGAACATATACGAGTGTGTGTGTGTGTGTGTGTGTGTGTGTGTGTGTGTGTTAGTCATGTCTGATTCTTTGCAACCTCATGGACTGTAGCTCACCAGGCTCCTCTGTCCATGGGATTCTCCAGGCAAGAATACTGGAGTGGGATCCCTTCTCCAGGGGATCGTCCCAACCCAGGGATCGAACCCCAGCCTCCTGCATTGCAGGCAGGTTTTTTACCATCCTGTCCAAGGTGAGATATCTTACTCTTGATCAACTAACTGGTGGCAGAGTCACATGATTTAAATTTAAAATTCTGAGCGCTGTGTAACTAAGCTAATGTCACTGCAAACTCCAGAGAAGAATGTCTAACCCAGTTTCCCTTAAAGCCTTATTAGTGGCTAGCAGTTGATTTGCCAGTTGACCTGACTTTGCTTGCAGTCTGGCTTTTCCTTGGCCAGAAGTTGGCCTCTGGCCCTCACATCCCACTTGCCGGCAGAAGGTACCATCTAGCCAGGCTTCCCTGGTGGCTCAGCCGTAAAGAATCCACCCACCATGCAGGAGACTCAGGAGACGCAGTTTCCATCTTGGGTGAGAAAGGTCCCCTGGAGGAGGAAACGGCAGCCCACTCCAGCACTCTTGCCTGGGAACCCTGTGGACAGTGGAGCCTGGCGGGCTGCAGCCCCTGGGGTCGCAGAGTCGGACACGACTGAGTGACTTATCAACAACAGCAACTCCGCTGCTCAGCCACGAGCAGCCACTCACCCCACGAGCGTTAGGGCAGAAAGTGCTGCTGTGCTGAGCATCTCAGGAGCACAGACCACACCCAGGACAGGCCAGAGGGCCGCCTTGCTGGGGCCCCGGGGAGATGTTCCTTCCACGGGGGAGGTTTCTTGAGGAGACAGGACGTGCCTGACTGGATCTTGGCCTCTGGGGAGGGCATCTGAGGTTGGGGGTGCCCCAGGAAAGGCCCAGGTGAGGGGAATTGAAGGAGGGGTCAGCCTTTCTGGGGCAGGGAAGTAACGGGAGGTGACAGATGGCAGGAATGCTGGGGCCCTGCTGGGGCCAGGCTGGGCAGCTCTCCTGCAGGGAGGTGGGGACTGGAGGCAGAGGTAGGCACAGGACGTCTGGGGGCCAACCACCCCACCCTGGGACAGAAGAACAGGTGACCCGGAACCGCAAAGCAAGGCCAGGTCACACCAGGTGGGCCCCGGAGCAGAGTGTCAGCTTCCGGGATGAGGAATAGGGTGCGTCTGCTGGAAGGAGGAAGCAAAGGCCAGAGCAGTGCGGAGCCTGCCCGCTGGAGGAGGAGTCACATCCCCAGCGCCCGCCGCCTGGAACCGGTGCACGTGGCCCTGTTCCGAGACCCGATCTCTGCAGGTGAGGCTGTACTGGGGGAAGGCGACCTAAGTCCAGGGACCCGTGTCCTCATAGCAAGAGGACCACCGGGACACAGGACACCCTGTGAGGGCAGAGGTGGAGAGGGGAGGGGTGCAGCCACCCACCAAGGGGCCCCCAAGGTCACGCAGCCCCAGGAGGAACCGCCCCCAGAGCCTCCAGAGGGGGCCCGGCCCTGCTCACACCTGGAGACAGCGAGAGAATTCACCTGGGCTGTCTCAGGCCACCGCGCATGTGGCCCTTCCTTACAGCAGCCCCAGGAGACCAATGCATGCCCCCCCAGGCTCCAGAAACTCCCGTGTTCACAGCCCTTCGGGAGCCCAGGGAGGGCACAGTGAGGCCAGCTGTGTCGGCGGTGGCAGGGTGTTCCACTGACCAGCCGGTGACCATGCCTGGCTGGGGACAGCGTCAGCCCGGGGACGGCTGTGCCTGCCCGGGAATCAGGGTCTCTGGGACTGAGGACAGACGGGGTCCGGCAGGTTCCTCAGCAGAGTCAGAGATCTGCTGGTTTAGAGTATCCTGGCAGCTGGGGCCAGGCTGGGCTCCTGGAAGCGCCCGGGGCAATGCCGGCTCCAGCCCACCCCTCAGGCAGGTGTCCAGTTCCAGACAGGGCACTGTAGATAGATCTGGCCCTGGAGCAGGAGGGGAAGGAATGGAAGGAGCAAATAGCCGAGGGGCCACGGCCAGTAACAGGAGATGCGGAGAAGCCTCGGGAAAGGGTGTCTTCCTGTCTCTGGAGCTAACTTAGGTTTCCACGCCAGGGAAACCAGGTTGAGATCCCCGATCACTCATGGCAGCTGCCTGTTGGGCAGTCACGTCCATTCACAGTAAACACCTGAGCACCGACCCGCAGCCACAGACGCAGGGAGACAAGGCCGGGGATTCCCCAGAAAGGCGAGGAGTTTCCCGCACGGCTGGGTGGCCTGGGAACGGGGTCTGCTCTGAGCCCGGGCTCTGGATGCTCATGAGAACCTTCTGAGTTAAAGGGTGGACCCACGGCTTACAGAGGAGCCAACATGAAAACCCTGAGCCAGCGAGATTCGGATGGGATTGAGGAGGGTGAGCCCAGTGTGGGCCCTGGGGAGTCTCACACCCCCCTCCCCCCACCCCCGGCTCTGTGTCCCTGGGTGGGGGGTTGAGGGCGCCCGGAGATCCTCCCCATGTTCACAGAGCCCCCCACGCACCCCAGGGGGAGGTGAGGTGCCCGGGGACCCTCCCCTATTCACAGAGCACCCCCCAGCCCAGGAGGAGGTGAGGGCGTCTGGGGACCCTCCCCTATTCACAGATCCCCCCACACACCCCAGGAGGAGGTGAGGGCGTCTGGGGACCCTCCCCTATTCACAGAGCCCCCCACCCCCACCCCAGGAGGAGGTGAGGGCGTCTGGGGACCCGCCCCTATTCACAGAGCCCCCCACCCCCACCCCAGGGGGAGGTGAGGGCGCCTGGGGACCCGCCCCGTCTTCACAGAGCACCCCGCCCCCAGCTCTGTGTCCCGCGGGTGGAAGTGAGGGCGGCGCGCCGTCGGGGCGCAGGGCCGGCCCGCGCAGGCGCCGGGAGTTCTGGATGGGAAGCGCGGCCGCATCTGTTTGCTCTCAGCCTCCGCCCGCTGCTGGGCTTTCTCACCCGCTGTGGGCGGAGGGTTCCGGGAACTCGCTCTGCCCTGACCGACAGCAGCGGAGAAACTGCAGCCTGCGACTCCGACTGGAGGGCGCCCGGGCTGGTCGCGGGAGGAGAAGATTCCTTTAAACAGCTCCTGTGGATGGAGGCCAGGCAGGATGAGGTCGCGGGTTATTTCCAGTCCTGGCGGGGACGGAGTAGCCGCACCGAAACGCTGGGGGCCGGGCTGGGGGCGGCGTGGGCCCTGAGCGAGGCCGCAGATGCTGGGGGACTTGAAGGGGCGTCCGGAGCGGGAAGCTTGGCTCCAGCCCGGACCCTCCCGGGCCCCAGCTCCCTCCCGTGTGAAAAGGGCTCAGTCACAGAACCCGAGGGGTCAGAACCTGTTCTCAGCCGACCTGGGGTTCTGTGCCCTTCCGACATCAGCAGGTGAAACGAGGGCCCTCTCCAGAGCCCCCACACTCGGGTGGTGCTTGGGAGCGGGACACGGCTCTGCGGGTCCAGGCCGGAGGGTCCAGCGACCGCACTGACCACAGAGGCCCCAGCTCAGCTGGGGAGCGGGGATGCCTAGGAGCGCCAGTCTCTGCTCTTCCCCTGCTCTTGGGAACCGACGAGGCCCCCAGAGCTGCAGACTCCTGATCCCATGGAGACCACGGGGGTCGCAGGGACCGTGCGCCTGGGCTGGAGGCGCCGCCCGCTCTGGCCAGAACTCCGGCCGGTCCCCTCCGCTGTCCTGCACCCCCACATCTGACAGCAGCTCCCGGTGTGGGGCCTCCTCGTAGCTGGCCTCCGGGCCTCACGCATCCCATCGTGGTTCTGGCTCTCCCCAGCCAGGCCCCGCCCCATCTGGCTTCAGCCTCACTGCATCCAACTTCCCTTCACGCTCACGTCGGATGTAAACCCACGTCCACAGCAGGGGCTCCGCCTCTCCGCCTTTCTCACCCGGGCGGGTCAGAACAGCCCAGACACTCAGGCCAAGGCCGTGAGTCACCCCGATCGTGTGTCTCGCTGGAACTCCTGCCCAGCCTCTGCGCCCACCGAGGCCGGCTCTCCAGGTCTGTCCCGCCCCGGCCTCTGCCGGCCCCAAGGCCTCGCCGGCACTCAGGAGTCAGCCTTCCGCACCGCCTACATGACAGTGAAGTGAGAGACCGCGGGACACCTTCACCAGGGACCCGGTGAGCCCAGGACGGCCCAAGGAGTGCTGGATGCCCCCAGGCGTGAGATAGCTATCAGCTGCCTGTGTGCAGAGTCGCTTCAGTCCTGTCTGACTCTGTGACCCCAGGGACTGTAGCCTGTCAGGCTCCTCTGTCCATGGGATTCTCCAGGCAAGAATACTGGAGTGAGTTGCCATGCCTTCCTCCAGGGGATCTTCCTGACCCAGGAATTGAACCCGCATCTCTTACGTCTCCTGCATTGGAGGGCAGGGTCTTTACCACGAGCGCCCCCTGGGAAGCCCTGGTTAGCTGCCTGCCGGGTCAATCGCACCCTGACCCCCATGCCATGCCCCATAGCCAGCCCCTGGAGTGACCACATGGACACGGCAGACACCACCCCCGACCTCCTCCCCTTGTCCTTACTGCCCCTCCCCCGCCCACATCCTCTGGGCTCCCCTCCCCCTTTCTGTGCCCCAAGTGCTCGTCTTAGGGACCCTGAACTTGCTACCCCTTCTGCGAAACCCTTTCCCGTAGGCTGTCCGATGGCTGGTTCTTTCCACTGGAGGAGCTCATATCTCAGCTCCAAGGTCTCCTTCGTGCCCAGCTGACCAAGCTCTGCCTGCTCCCTGGCCTGACCCGTGTCCTGTGGCTCTCAGGGCCCCATTCACTCAAGCTTGTCTTCGGATTCCTGGAGCTCGTGTCTCTCCCACTGGCCCGTGGTCTCCAGGAGTTAGCAGGGCTTTGGCCTCCTGCCTGCAGGGCTGTGAGCCCAGCCTGGGGGAAGGACCCCAGGGGGCTGGCCGAATGGGGCCGTGACTGCAGGAGGGAAGGGGGCTCCCCTGGTGGCTCCATCCACACCCCGCTGCTCCTCGCCCTGTGCCTCAGGGACTTCTGATTACCCAGCTGAAGTTCACTGATAGCATCTTGTTCCTTTGCTAAGTTGACAGTTAACGTCAGTAAATGCCATGTGCCTGGACCAGACCAGTCTCTGAGAATATTCTAGGTGTGAAGCTGAGACCTGAAGGGACAGCAGCCTCCAAAGGACCACTTCCCACAGAATTCCTTGCTGAGCCTGGGTGAGACTCGACCGCAGCCTGAAAACCGAGTCTCAGCCTGTGCTGCTGGCGATTGGGAAGAATCTAAAGTGGTGTGAAGGCTGCTTTTGCCTCAGAAACCCTCCATCAGCAACACGTTCCCAGCCCAGGCTCCAAATCAGTCCATGGTCAGTACCAGGTGTTTAATGAGGAACCAAAGTTCCAACAAGATCCTGGGGACATTCGGCCGCCCTGACAGGCCGCTGCATATTCAGACTGTGATAAAGCAGAGAACGCAGAGAGGGAGGGATAAGGAACAGAAGACAGTCTGGGGGCATCTCTTCGACTGGGCCAGGAAGCACACCGGGCCTTAGTAAGGAGGCTCCTCTTCCCCGGGGCAGTGGGAGCTGGTCCACTCCAGGGCCCCGAGGGAGCATCGTCTCTGTTCCACACGGGACACCAGGTGTCTACTGAGGGGCCCCCAGAAGGTGGCTGCAGCTGGTCCTGTTCCACCCAGAACCTCCAACACAAGCTGTGCCCAACCCACCCATCAGGTCCCCTGTTCTCAAGGCCGAAGAACAGCCTGCACCAGCAGTAGGGCGTTGAGGAGGAAGCATCCACCTCCTTTCTTCTGATAAGGATCTCACGCGCACATTGAAGTCGAGCGACTCCACACAGACAGCTTGGGCTTTTGTTTCTCTCAAGCCCTAAAGACAGCTGAGCTCTGATCCATGATATACAGGAAACCAGGGTCTCCCGCCCCCCCAGGGCCCCAAATGGACATGACCGTGGCAGTCGCCCTGGGCCGTCCACACCCACGGTCAGTGGAGCGCGTTGTGTCAGCGTGGTGTTTCTGCGGGGTTTTCCCTGAATTTGTTTCACCTCTGGAGCATTTTGCTCAAGATGTCTTTCGGGTGAAAAGACTTCGTGCTGAGTCACTCTGCGTGGTATCCTGGGAGAATGCACACATGGCCATGGGTTTTCGCAAACAGATTCATCTGACTGACATTTGCACAATGTTTTTGTAATTAAGGAGCAGGAATCGGAGCAAAGAGACAAAAAGGGAAGATTTTCAGGCCCGTCGGCCTTGTGCCTGCTGTTCGCTCGCTGTGTGCACACGTGTGCGTGCACTGTTGCTGTGGAATCCAGACCGGAAGGACAGAAGAATCCAGTGGTTATAAAAGATCCCAGCTTGCATGACAGATATAAATATGACTCCCAGAATTGAGCAAGGGTAACCTTTTGCAAAGCACAGTCACAGAAAAGAGTTTAGAAGTATCTTCTTTCTTTTCAATGCCCTTGCAAGTGAGTGATAGGAACAGATTTTGCAAGATGTCCTAAGTCGTGTGACCTCGAAAGAAGGGCTCAAGGCCTTCATCTTCTACTCAGCTTTGAGTCATTTCAAAAAGTCTTTGGCAAACCTTATATATTAGTCAGGGCTCTCTGGAGAAAAAGAACCAATAGGCTGTACACATATAAAGATTGATTATAAGGAGCTGGCTCACACAATCAGGGAGGCTGACAAGCTTGCAGCCATCAAGCTGGAGGCCCTGGAAAGCTGATCGTTAGGTCCAGTCCTCATCCAAAGGCCTGGTGCCAGGAGAAGGGCGGATGTGTTTCCCATCTGGGGGCCCAGGAAGAATTGACGCTTCACTCAAGTCCAAAGGAGGGTCGGGACACCAGTGTCCCAGTTCAAAGTCAGGCAAGAAGCGTTCCCCCATATCCAAGGGAGGGTCAGCATTTTTGGTCTATTCAGGCCTTCAACTGATTGGACGAGGCCCACCACACTAGAGAGGGCAAGCTGCTTTCCTCAGTCTGCAGATTCGAACGTTACTCTCATCCAAAAATACCTTCACAGAATAACGTTTGGCCAAATGACTGGGCTCCCCATGGACAGATGGCACAAAAAATTAGCTGTCACAACTTATATGGACAAAAATTAAAAACCAAAAGGAGAGAAAGCCGAAGGAGTCTTTGGATGAGTGGAGTTTTGCAACAGGTGTGGGTTAGTGATGAGCTGTGTGCGATGCGCACGCCTGGAATAGACTCACTCCTCACTGACTACCATGGCCTTTCAGTGAGTGGGATGGATCCAGTGACCTGGTATTATTAGGGGAGTATAAGTGGAAATCCTTTTAATTCAAATGTTCATCCTGAAACTGCTTCTTATCCTGTGAATTTCATGCTTTCAAATTTTGAAGCTATTGAAAAACAGAAAAAGAGATGGAAATTGTATTTGCTTGTAAATCTGTATATTTTATTTCCTCCATTCAGAAGAGCAGTAACAAAGTCCACATAAGAGGTTCTTAATTAATTTAAAGTTCTATAAATTTGATAAAGCACCTAGCACAGTGAAAAGAATTCAGAGGTACAGAAATGTACATATTTTGAACTGAATTGTTGATTCAAAAGTGAAGTTGGTGATCCAAAGCCTAAGGAAAAATGAGGAAAACAGAATAAGATTTTGAGCTGTCCAACACAGAAAGCAACTCTGTAGTATAAGAGCATCATATGAAAATAATACAATTTAACTCAAATTTCAGGGTTTTCTTTGCATTTCTCCTAATATTTAGTGCATTTATCTAAAGATATCTCTCAGACTCATCAAAACATGCTCATGTTCCTATCTATACAATTTCATTTTCATTTTTTTGAGTCTATTATAAATAGGACTGTTTTCTTAATTTCTTTTTCAAATTATTTATTTAGTGTGTAAAAGAACAACTGGCTTGTGTATTGATTGACTTGTGTGTTGATTTTGTATCCTGCAATATGCCAAATTTGTTTATTAATTCCAACAGTTTTGTGTGTACGTGTGGAGTCTTTAGGGTTCTTCCCATATAAGATCATGCCATCTCCAGAGATAATTTTGCTTCTTCCTCTCTGAGTTGGATGACTTGTATTTCTCTTTCTTGCCTAATTGCTCTGTCTAGGACTTAACCATGCTGAGTAGAACTGCCGGCATGCACACTCAGTCACTAACCCATGTGTCCAAGTCTTTGCAACCCCATGGACTGTAGCCCACCAGGTGCCTCTGTCCATGAGATTTCCCAGGCAAGAATACTGGAGGGGGTTACCATTTCCTTCTCCAGGGGATTTTCCTGAACCAGGGATTGAACCTGTGTCTCCTACATTGGCAGGCAAGTTCTTTACCACTGAGCCATATTCCTGGATCATATGGTAATTATGTTTCTAATTTCAAGGGATTGTCATTCTGGTTTATATAGTAGGTGTACCATTGTACATTTCCACCAACAGTGCACAAGGGTTCACTGTCTCCACATCCTCACCAACACTTTGGCCACAGATGCAAAGAGCTGACTGATTAGAAAAGACCCTGATGCTGGGAAAGGTTGAAGGCGGGAGGAGAAGGGGATGACAGAGGGTGAGATGGCTGGATGGCATCACCGACTCGATGGACATGAGTTTGAGCCAGCTCCAGGAGTTGGTGAAGGACAGGGAGGCCTGGCGCGCTGCAGGCCATGGTGTCACAGAGTCAGACATGACTGAGCAACTGAACACCACCACCAACACTTGTTACTTCCTTTTGCTTGTTTATAGTAGTCACTCTGATGACTATGTATGTGTGTGTGTGAAAGTGAAAGTATTAGTCACTCAGTTGTATCCAACTCATTGTGACTCTATGGACTGTAGGCCTCCAGGCCCCTCTATCCATGGGATTCTCCTGGTAAGAATAGTGGAGTGGGTTACCATTCCTTTCCCCAGGGAATCTTCCCGTCCCAGGGACTGAGCTCTAGTCTCCTGCATCGCAGGCGGTCTTCACTGCCTGAGCCACCAGGGGGCACTGGAGGTGACGCGGGTTCCAGTTTTCCTTGCGTTTCAGGCTGTACTGAATGCAGTGGTCAGAACGCCCTGGCGTTGAGTAGCCTTAAGCTAACTGCTGCTGTGTTTCCACCTCAGGAATCTTAAAAGCAGGGCCTGAGAGGGTTCAGTCGCCGTCAAGCAACTTAAAGTGAAGTCGCTCAGTCGAATCCGACTCCTTGCGAGCCCATGGACTGTAGCCTACCAGGCTTCTCTGTCCATGGGATTTTCCAGGCAAGAGTACTGGAGTGGGTTGCCATTTCCTTCTCCAGGGGATCTTCCTGACCCAGGGATCGAACCCAGGTCTCCCGCATTGCAGGCAGATGCTTTACCCTCTGAGCCACCAGGGAATTCCCCTGGTCAAGTAACTTAACTGGACCCCAAATCAGAATAGACTATAAGAATATATAAATATATATATATATATATATATGGGGATATTCAACAAGCCACAGAGTAAAATCCACATCTAGTATATAATCAGAGTACTATGTATGCAATAATGATAAAAGTACAACCCATAATAGGAAGAATATGCAACCCAGTAAAGCTGCCCAAGGACTGATGCAGATGATAGAAAATAGAAGATTATGGCAGTAAAACAATTTTGTAACTGTCTTCTGTATGTTCAGAAGTTAAGTAGATACAGTGAAGATGTAAAATGCATCTTAATAGAGCTTGTAGACATGAAAAATATAATGTGTGAGATGAGAAATACATGTGTGCTGACTTTTTTGGAAAAAAGAGAGATTAGTGAACTTGGAGACCTAGCAAAATTACTATCCATAAGATAACATACAGAGAACGAGGGATTTAGAAAATTAACAGAGCACAGTGAACCGTAATGCCCTAATTTAGTATACTACACATTTAAACACCTCTGTTACATGATTATAAATAGGCTTATAAACATTTGAATGAGATAAGAACTCTGTTCAAGACACCTATTTTCCAACAGTAAAATATTAATACACTGTGAAAGTGAAAGTCGCTCAGTCATGTCTGACTCTTTGCTACCCCATACAGTCCATGGAGTTCTCCAGGCCAGAATACTGGAGTGGGTAGCTTTTTCCCTTCTCCAACGGATCTTCCCAACCCAGGAATCGAACTGGGTTCTCCTGCATTGCAGGCAGATTCTTTACCAACTGAGCTATCAGGGACTGAAATTAAAATGTCATCCTAAAATTCTATACTCAGCCAAAATATCTTTTCATAAACAAAAGTAAAACAAAGACTTTTTCAGACATACAAATGTGGGAAGAATTAATCACCAATGGACTTCTATATACAAAATGCTAAAGAAAGTCTCTCTGCCAGAAATAAACTAGAAACACAAAGAGAAGTAAGAATATAAAAACACTTTCTCAACCCGATAAAGGGCATCTATAAAAATCTATAGTTTATTGATAAAAGACTGAATACTTCCCCCTCAGATGTGAAAGACCTCTCATCACTTACTTCTATTTAATATTGTACTGGAAATTCTAGCCAGTGCAGCAAGGCAAGAAAAAGAGTATTGAAGCTAGAAAGGTAGACGTAAAACTGTCCCTTTGTTTACATACATGATCATCTATGTAAAAATTCAGTGGAACCTACAAAAAAAACTACTAGGAGTAGTGAGTTCTATGAGGTTACAGAAATTAAAAATCAATATACAAAATTCTGTTGTACTTATGTATATTAGCAATGAATCATCAGAAATTTAAATTTTCAGATCCCATTTACAGTAACAACAAAAACATGAAATACTATGGAATTAGACAAAATAGTGCAATAGCTATCCGCTTACAACTATAAAACATTGAGAGTAATTGAGGAAGTCCTAAATAAATGGAAAGCTATACCATGTTCATTTATCAGAGAACTCAGTATTTTTTAAGATGCAATTCTTTCCAAATTTTCAGATTCGATGCAATTTCAATTAAAATCTCAACATGTGTTTTTGTATAAACTTGCAAGCTGATTATGAAATTCACTTGGAAATGCAAAGAATCTGGAATAGACAATATGGCTTTGAAAAGCAAAAAAAAAAAAAGAAGAAGACTTATACTACTCGATTTAAAATCTCATTATAAAAGTAGTAAAGACAGTATGGTATCATTGAAAAATAGAAAGTTAAGTCAATAGAACAGAAAAAGAGTTCTGACGTAGACTTATACACATGCGAGCAACTGATTTTTGACAAAAAATTTTACAGGAAACTCAGTATAGAAGAAAATAGTCTTTCCAACAAGTGATTCTGGACCAATTAAATATCCATGTGCAAGAATAAAACAAAACAAAAACAAATTAAACACTTGATTTATATCTTGTACCATGTAGATTAATCCAAAATGGATAATGGACCTAAATGTAAAACCTAAAACTCTAAAAATTCCAGAAGAAAGTAAGAAAATAGCTTTGTGACTTCGTTTGAAGCAGAGACTTATTTGCTACAACATCAAAACTGCAGCCCATGAAAATATCAATAACTGGACCTCATGAAAATTAAATAATCCTACTTTTCAATCTATCCATCCATTCATCCATCAAAAACATTGTTAAAAGAATGAAAAGATATGCCTCAAACTGGGAGAAATATATTTGTGAATGCTATATGATAAAAGACTCATGTCCCTTCCGAATGATGAGGGGGGATATTTCACAAGATTTGAGCAGACACATCATCAAAAAATATATATGGTTTAAAAGATGCCCGACTCTGTTAGCCTCCAGGTCAATGAAAATTTAAATGCCTGTAAGATTCTACTACATATCTATCAGAATAGTTGAAAAACTTGACCATACTGAATATCGGTAAGGTGTGGGGGAACTGAACTCAGAATTTCATACACTACTGTTGGGAAGGTAAAGTCCCACTTTAGGAAACAATTTGGAATACAGTTTGTCCATTTATTCAAGTGTTAAGCACTCACCAGTCCTGTGACCTAACTAGTCCATGACTGGATAAAGGAAAGCATATTTCCATTTATATAAGAATGTTCATAACAGCCCTAGGCAATAACCTCAAACTGAAAACAACCCGATGTCTATCAACAGATGAGTAGCTAAATACAGAAGCAGTATATCCATTCAGTGAGACACTACCCGATGTCTATCAACAGATGAGTAGCTAAATACAGAAGCAGTATATCCATTCAGTGAGACACTACTCATTCATAAAAACAAGTCAGTCAGAGGAAAACAAATGCTGTATATTAACACATATATACAGAATCTAGAAAGTGATACTGACGAGCCTATTTGCAGGACAGGAAGAGAGACATGGACATCGATGAACAGAGTTATGGACACAGTGGGGGGAAGGAAAGTGTGGGTCAAACAGAGAGCAGCATTGATTTACGCACACTACCTACACACTATCCCGCTGGCTGTCTGCAGTAGATAGCTGATCAAGTAGATAGCCAGGGGGAAGCTGCCGTATGGGAACAGGGAGCTTAACCTGGCGGTCTGTGGCAACCTGGAGTGATGGGATGGGGTGGCGAAAGTGGATGGCGGGAAGAGAAGGGCGTGCTTCCAAAGAGGCAGGAGGAAGAGTCGGTGAAGAAGATGTCAGGGACATTGTGCATGTGTGATGATGGTTTCATGAGTGTGTAAGTGTCACAAATCATCAGATCTTATGGTTTAGATACGTGAAATTTATTATATGCGATTATAACTTACCAAAGTCTAAAACATAGCGGAGCTTGAGTAACAACATAGTAGAATTGGCCAGTTCCACTTTGTGAAAGCCAGTTGTGAAATTTTCAGAATTTCGTGAGCCAGTTAGTGTTTCAAGAGCCAGCAGGCTGTAGTCCTCCACGCTGGGAGGTTCTTTGTCTTGGAAACAAGTGTGTTTATGTGTCTATTTGTACTGAAAACTGGTTGACAAACATTCACCAGCACATCACTGGACTAAGAGTAAAAACAATATAGTCAGAGAAGAGAGTTACTCAGAGAAATATTTTCCCTTTTGATATTTAAGAACTTGTAGATATTCCACTAATGTGTCTCATTGTATATTTGCATGATGTTAAGTTAATCAAATGGCAATAATTAACCAATGGTGACTGCAGCCATGAAATTAAGACACTTGCTCCTTGGAAGAAAAGTTATGACCAACCCAGACAGCATATTAAAAAGCAGAGATATTACTTTGCCAACAAAGTTTCATCTAGTCAAAGGTATAGTTTTTCTAGTAGTCATGTATGGATGTTAGAGTTGGACTATAAAGAAAGCTGAGCCCTGAAGAATTAATGCATTTGAATTGTGGTGTTGGAGGAGACTCTTGAGTGTCCCTTGGACTGCAAGGAGATCCAACCAGTCCATCCTATAGGAGATCAGTCCTGATTATTCATTGGAAGGACTGATGCTGAAGCTGAAGCTCCAATAGTTTGGTCACCTGATGTGAAGAACTGACTCATTGGAAAAGGCCCTGATGCTGGGAAAGATTGAAGGCAGGAGGAGAAGGGGACGACGGAGGATGAGATGGCTGGATGGCATCACTGACTCGATGGACATGAGTCTGAATAAGCTCCAGGAGTTGGTGATGGACGGGGCGGCCTGGTGAGCTGGAGTCCTTGGGGTCGCAAAGAGTCGGGCACGACTGAGCGGCTGGACAGACTGAACTCACTAAATTTCTCATCTTCTACCAACTTAGATTTGGTAAAATACTAATGGAAAAGATCATATGATGCCACTGGTATGTGAACTGTAAACCATGACACAAACGATCCAATCTTTGGAACAGAAACAGACTCACAGACATCGAGATCAGACTTGAGGTTGCCCAGGGGAAGAGGAAGGGGAGGGATGGACTGGCAGTTCGCAGTTGGCAACGGACACTGTTCTGTATATGATGGACGAGCAACAGAGTCTGACCGTGTAGCACAGGGAGCTGCACTCAACATCCTGTGATAAGCCAGAATGGAAAAGAAGATGAAAAATAATGTACACACATGTGTCAGTGAGTCACTTTGCTATGAAGCAGAGATTAACAAAACATTGTAAGTCAAATATATTTCAATAAACTAAATTTTTTTAAAATATTCATCTAAGATAAGGCCTAAGCCAAAGTCTTTGGGACTCTTTACCATCTAAGCCACCAAGGGAACCCCATTAAGCTCTTTAGGAAGACATATAATTATTCTTAATTTTTATTTTTAAATGCTAGAAATTGCTTATATGTAAAGTACATAAATGTATTTTTCTACATAGAAAGACCTCAAAAGAATCTCAGCATTTGTCTACCTAAACTACTTTCTTATGAAAGTAATGATAAAAATTTAATATTCTCAATAGCAATACAGGTTCTATTATTATCTTACATAATCAAAATAAGTAAGAAGATCAGTTTTAAGAAAAACTAATTCTATGTGCAGGATTTCTGATACAGTATTTTTAATTTTGATATTTATTTTTGTTAACATTGATGGCACATGCATTAAGTAAAAGTGATTTGTTGAGTTGATGGCAGATTAATGATTGAAAGTACCAAGTAACATTTGTAAAAGAAACCACATTTTCTACAGTTTTAAAGGAATTCTTTTCTATGAAACAACAGGGGAAAGTATACACAAATGCGTGATATTAAAATTTTGTCAGCTGAAGTGTTCCCAGCGTTTGTGCACGTTTTTAATGCATCCTCTGTGGGTAGGTTTTATGTGTTATAGTTTTTGTTACTATTACTTTTTACTATAATGAACCCTCATTAGATACTCATGCATATTTCAAGCTTAAAATTATTTTTCTGTTTTGTTGAGATATAATAGACATATGTCTCTGAATAAGTCTCAAGTATCCAGCATAATGACCTGACTTACATGTTTTGGGAAATGATTACCACAGCAAGTTCAGTTAGCATCCGTCATCTCAAGGAAATTAAAAAAAAAAAGAATGTTTCTTCCCCTGTAATGAGGAATTTTAGGATACACTTTCTTTAGGAAGTTTCAAATACACGAGACAGGCACGCTGTCCAGTCACCATGCCGTACTCATCCGTATAAATGGGACCTTGTCCCTTTTGCCCACTGTCGTCTCGTTCCCCCAGCCCTCACTGCCTGAGACTCCTCCGTGACCACACACAATCTGACCTCATTTTCTTTTAAGATTCCATATATAAGTGAGATCCTACAGGATTTGTTTTTCTCTGTCTCACTTATTTCACTCAGCATAATGCCCTCCAAGTCACTATATAGTACCTAATGCCCTAAATTAGTATACTGTTCACTTAGACATCTCTGTTAGCATGGTTATAAATAAGCTCATAAACATTGAATGGGATGAGATATCTGTTCAAGACACTTAGTTTCCAACAGTAAAATATTAGTACACGGTGAAAATGAAAGTCGCTCAGTCACATCCAACTCTTTGTGACCCCATGGATTACACCGTCCATGGAACTCTCCAGGCCAGAATACTGGAGTGGGTAGCCTTTACCTTCTCCAGGGGATCTTCCCAACCCAGGGATCGAACCCAGGTCTCGCGCATTGCGGGCGGATTCCTTACCAGCTGAGCCACGGGGGAAGCCCATTAATACAGAGTACATTGCCAAAGAGCAAGTCCGTGTGCCTGATTTGTAAGAGAGCTTTGAGCCCACAGATACATTCTCAGCTTTAAACAGAGCACAGGTATCTCCCTGTCCACGGCAATCGAGCCTGCGTGCAGTGAAGCCTGCAAGCATTTAATAAAGTGACACGGATTGTGAACACAGAGTGAGGACACACCATCTTAAATCTGCACCACCCTGCCCTCCCTACTGCTGCCTGGAGAGGATTAGCCCAGTGAGGACAAGTGGGAGCCCTTCTGCGTTCAGACTGACGTTACTGGGTGGAATTGTAACCTCTCAGAGTCTCTGCTCCCTCAGTATAAATAGCCATAATTATAGTATCCAGCTCATCAGGTCATCCTGAGAGTTGATGAGACAGAACATCTAACACTAAGTTCTGGATGAGGTCTGATCCCCAATACCCAATAGAGGTGACCGTGATGGTGAGGATGTGCTTCTCCTGTTGCTCAGGGCCAGTGAAAGCATCACTGCTGCGATGGTCTCAGAGCTTACCGCCTCTTTAAGGTCGCCTGTGTCTAAAAGGTAAAGTCCTGCAAGGGAGGGCACACGTGGTGGTGTCATGGGAGCCACCGAGCAGGAAGACTGCTTTGCAGACATTTGCCTCATCACACTCTGATCTGACACCTCGATCTAGATCGTGATTGTGGTTTCCCCAACGTGCATTTTGCAATCAGTCAGGTGAATGTGCTTCGTTGGTGGAATAAAGGTTTCCTCTAGTGGTGCAAAATTCCCTTTACCTATTATGACGCCCTCCCAACCCACTGCTGCAAGCACAGTACCTTCCAAGTTTCTCCCCGAGATCTGGTCATGCAGGCTCTCATCATCGGCTGAGGCGAACCTCAGCCATGATGGTGATCACACCCTCATAGATGAATGGATGCCGGGCCAGACATGGGGGAAAATACAGTGGGGTGAGGGGTACCCCGAGTGCCCCTGGATAACCCCGTAAGTGACTCACACTGCGGGGCTCACATCCTCGTCACTAAAATGACACTGGTGCAGGTGAGCTCCTGTTTCTCTTAGTTCCAGATTTCTCAACTCTGTGCATTTATCCAGAATTTTACAATAAAGTACAGCAGGTAGCAGCAGAAAGAGACCATGCCAATGTTTTCTTCACTCTTACCAGACAGACCCGAAGCTTTCTACTCAATGTTCTCAGGTTAGAAGCAGATCCTTTCCCTTGAATACCAACATGATCTGCCTCATTTCTGTGCTGGCCAACAGATTCAACCAGTGGGCAGTCTGGATGATATTGACCCTATATCACTAACACAGAAATTGTGGGAGGTGATTAACATTAACAGAAATCATCAAACTCGAGTACACTGTGGTGTCTGTTTCTTAATTAAAAGAGCTTTAATTTTAATTGCATTTATATAAGTGCAATGTCACTATCAGTGTTTGAATCAACACTGCCGTTTAGCGGACGAGGTCTGCCTGCGTTCCCACACAATCCTGCATCAGAGGACTGTCCAGGGATACCGCACAGTGGAACAGCTACGACGTCTTTGGGAAATGTGAGTTCCATGAGGCCTGTCAAAGAAACTGCATTGTCATCTTCTAATATCCTGTTTAATTTTACTCCAAAAAATCATTACAAGATAGGATTGTTATTCATAATTCTAAGAAGGCTGAGTGCCAAAGAACTGATGCTTTCCAATTGTGGTAATGGAGAAGACTCTAGAGAGTCCCTTGGACTGGAAGAAGATCAAACCTGTTGATCCTAAAGGAAGTCAACCCTGAATATTCACTGGACAAAGTGAAAGTGAAAGTCGCTCAGTCATGTCCGACACTTTGCAAGCCCATGGACTATACAATCCATGAAATTCTCCAGATCAGAATATTGAAGTGGGTAGTCATTCCCTTCTCCAGAGGATCTTCCCAAACCAGGCATCGAACCTGGGTCTCCTGCATTGCAGGCAGACACTTTACCGTCTAAGCCACCAAGGAAGCCCCTTTCTTTATAAAAGAAAATACAAAAATACAAAATGGTGATACACAAAATAAGTAGGTGAAGCCATCAATGGCATTTTAGATCGTCGACGTCTTCTGTGACATGTTCACAGCCTTCTCCATGACCGTCACACTGGGAACAGAACAGCCAGACCAGCCCTCCAAGCGGCGCCCGTGCGCTGGTGAAACCTTCATGCCACAGGTCCCGAAGAGCAGCTGCATCTGTGTCTATCACATGGGTCTGGAGGTTCCCCACTTCTGGTCCATATACTCAAGTCCCTGGAGGTAAAAATCTAAAGTTGGATTCATTTACTGGTTATAAACATCTACTGTGGTCATGCAGTCCCCTGGAGGGGGGCATGGCAACCCACTTCCATATTCTTACTGGAGAAGAATCCCATGAACAGAATCCCATGAACAGAGGAGCCTGGTGGGCCACCGTCCACGGGGTCGCAAAGAGACGGACACAGCCGAGTGACCGAGCGCAGCACGGTCAGGAGATGCTGTTAGAAATTGAGAATTTCAACTGTTTTTAAATTTACTTTTTAAAGTATGTTACTGAAAACCTGTTGTACCAGAGTTATGAAGGAAAGTGGCTAAGAACTAGACAAGGGTGGGACTTCCCTGGCAGTCCAGTGGTTAAGACTCCAAGTTTCCATTGCAGGAGGTTCAGGTTCAACTCCTGATCAAGGAGCCACTAATAAGATCCTGCCTGCCAATGGCCCCCCCCAAAAAAATAAAAGTCTCTTGAACTGAATAAAGATAAAAAGACATCATATCAACTTAAAAAAAATTACATGACAAAAGTAAGAAATTTTTTAAAAGAGGAATTAGACACAGGAGAATAACTAATTTTTGCAGGGTTAGGTCAGGATGGCTCCAAAGACATCACAGCCAGAACAGTCCTTAAATGATGCTCAGGACTCCAGGTGACTGACAAGAAGAGAGCCATCCAAGAAGAGAAACTACAAGAGCAAAGAAAAAGACAAGGATGCACAGGGCACGTCTCAGCAGAGGACACAGCCCGTGTTCCTGGAATGCGGGTGAACAGGAAGGAGTGAGGAGACTGCAGAGTTGGGCCCTTCCAGACATCAAAGGACTTGAGCTCTGAGGAACTCAGCCTCAGTTATGTCAGCACTGGGGTTCTACGCTCTGCTTGTCGCTTTGATTGTCTTCAGTTTGTTTCAAAAGCATAACAGAGGCGTGTGGTACAAAATTAAAAGCAAATTGCAAACCACGTTTTTGTGAAAAGGAAGCCTCTCTCTCCACGCCCCGTCTGCCTCCTCAGCTCCCCACCCGTCACCCACCGTCTTCCAGGACACAGCACTTCTCCCTGTGTCCTGTGTGTCTCCCAGAGTGGCTCAACAAACACACACAGCCACACACTTGCGCAGCACACAAGCACAAATGTGCACACGAGGCTGGTCAGATTGCTTGAATCGTGACGCGTGGGTGGGCCCCACGGGCCTCGGGGAGGGGCTGGCCAGGGAAGGACCCAGGCCGCCGGACGCATCGTCACGCAGAGCCCCTCAGAGCCAGGCTTGGCTGCACAAAGTGCAAAGCCCGATGCAAAATAAAAAGGGGAAATCATCACGAGAGGAACGACCGAGCTTTCAACCAGCTACGAGGCCTCTGAGGAGGGCCCTGCCTGATCACGAGGCATGCAGCCCCTGAGGCTGAGCCTGCCCGCGCCTGGCTCTGCAGGAGCCCCAGGATGCAGGTGGTCCCTCGGAGTCTGTCCTGAACCTGGGCAAGGAGCTGCCCACTAGGCTCACCTCTCCACTGGCCTCCCGGGGCCAGTCTGGGGGTTGTCCTGCCCTACACCTTGGTCCTTTGCCCACAGCTGATCCCGCCCAGTGGCCGGGAGGACCCCCAGCAGGAGTAGCAGGTGCTGGCAGGTGGGGAGGCCACGGGTGCTGGTGATGGAGAGCAGGGGACCAAGGGTCTCGGGGCACGGTCTGCGGGGGTGCATGGTCAGAACCTTCACCGTGGGCGCTAGATGGGCCAGTGCAGACTTGATCAGGAAGTAAATAAGGACAGGGTCTGAACTAGATGTCCCCCCAGAGGGGCTCAGGCCTCAGACACAAGCGTAGGGGCTCAGAAAAGAGGCTAGGGCTGCAAAGGGCACCACTGTCGGCTCCCCCTTAGGGAGGGGGAGTGAGAAAGAGGACCAAAAACTGGGGGAAGCCCCAGCCAGTGGGTGGGAGGAGCTGGAAGCAGGGAAGGAAGTGGAAAGGAGCAGAGGGGAGCCTCACCCCCGCGGGGAGGAGGAAGGGACCAGGTGCTGGAGGGTCTCTCCTCCAGGCACACGAGAGTGACACAGGACTGCCCTTATTTGGGGTCAGAGCATCGCCCTCGGTCTGGGCAGAAACGGAGAGCAGCCTTCCGAGACCCCCTGAGAGGTGCTGGCGGGCGCCCTTTGCCGAACCAACCACAAGCAGTTCCTGACCTCCAGGCCTCCTTCATCTTGCTGCTTCCAGGGGCTACATCCACATCTCCAAAGTTTCCAGTAAGCAGGCTCCAAATCCAGTCCATCCACATGCCTGAACTTGGAAAGACCAACTCTGCATCTCAGGGTGGGAAGCCCCCAGGCGCTGGGCAGCCATCCTCATCAATCCTGCAAGGTAAGTGTTTAAGTTCTTAGCAAACAGCAAAAAGGGGAGTGTATTATTCAACATTTAACCCTGTGTGTACACCTTCACTAATGCTTTAATCTACAAAGCAAGCCCCAGATGACATTGCCTTTGTGAGCTTCCACCTCTGCACCTTCTGTGAATGGCGCCTCCCAGGGTCTCCGTACCTTGATCCCTTACTTAGTTCTCCAGCCAGCTTAGCGTGAGACCTCCTGGTGGAAGGTTGTTGCTGAGCCATGAACAGTGCCAGGATTCTTGGCCTCTGGAGGAGAGGAATTCAATCTGGGACCAGTGATGAGTCTTGATCACTCAGAGCTTCTGTGTAATAAAGTTTTATCAAAGGATAAAAGAGATAGAGAAGGCTTCTGACAAAGACATCAGAAGGGGGCAGAAAGGGTGTCCCTACTAGTTTTTAGCAGGAAGTTATATACCTACTAGCAGGCTGCTAATTAGAGAAAGGAAATGTCTCAAAACTCAGAGGCTGGCACCAGGCCCCTCAACACTGGCATAAGGTGAGTCATCCCAGGCCATAAAACGATCGACATGAATCTTGAAGAAAGGCAGATTTCTAAGCAAATACATTGTCTCACTAACCTAGCTTAACATTTCCATGGGTAAAACATACTGGTTTGTTGAGCTATTATCCTTTCTGAATCTTAGGCAGAACCGACTTGAAGAAAGAGTTTAAGGTAAATACATAGCTCACTAACATAGCTTAAGAAAAACATTTCATAAGAAAAATGCATTGGATAACTCAAGGTTTGAGAAAGTTAAGTTCAGGTGGAACCAGGTGTCGTCATGGCAACACAGAGTTTTAAAAGAAACCTCCTTTTAATTTTGTATACAGAAGGGAAAAACATCTGACACTTGTAGCTTGCTTCCTCTTGCCACTTAAGAGAGAGAGAGCAGCCTATTTCCTCTATCTGGGGCCCCTAGCCTTCCTGCCTGTTATCCTCTCACTGGTTTCCATTCTCTCAAGAGGCAGTAAAAAATAGATTGTTCGACTTTCTTTCTAAGCTGATTATTTTTGCAACTTCCTACGTGACCTCACGGGGGCTCCCCAGGCGGCACAGTTGGTCAAGAATCCTCCGGTCAATGCAGGAGACACAAGAGACGTGGGTTCGGTCCCTGAGTTGGGAAGATCCACTAGAGGAGGAAGCGGCAATCCACGGTAGTATTCTTGCCTATAAAATTCCATTGACAGAAGAGCCTGGTGGGCTACAGTTCATGGGGTCCCAAAGGGTCAGACATGACTCACACAGCACAGCACCACATGTGACCTCGAACTTGAGGTTAAATCAAAACGTAGTGACCCCTCTCCCTGATTCACCAATTCTGATGAGTCAGAACTCCAGAAATAGGCTACATCAGACATTTAAATCACCAGGAATGACATCATTTTGTGTAATTATTTCCCATAAGACATATCTCAGCATTGCTTGTTCTTTATGCTATCTTTATGTTTATTTCTTCAAGATTCATGTCAATCGTTTTATGGCCTGGGATGGCCCACCTTGTGCCAAAGTTATCTCAAAATGCATGTTGTAGGTGAGGGGCCTGGTGCTACTCTCTGAGTTTTGAGACATTTCCTTTCCTAATTAGCAGCCTGATGGTAGGTATATAACTTCCTGCTAAATTTTTCATGCCAGATAAGCAGGAAAAGTACCAAACAATTTATTTCTCTTTCTTTGTTTCCTTTTCTTTTAAAAAAAATTTTTTTTTGAGTGAAGCATAGCTGATTTACAATATTATATAATGTTCAGGTGTACAATACAACAATTCACAATTTTTTAAAAACCATCATCCATCTATAGTTAGTACAAAATGTTGCTTATATCTCCTTGCTGCATGATATATGCTTGTAGCTTACTTATTTTATCCATAGTAGTTTGTACTTCTTAACCTCCTGTCCTTCTATTGCTCCCGCCCTCCCCTCTCCCCACTGGTCACCACCAGGTTTTTTTCTATATCTTCATGTCTGCCTCTTTTATGTTGTGTTCACTAGTTGTTTTATTGTTTACATCCCACATATAAATGATCTCATGCAGTATTTTTCCTCCTCTGTCTGACTCACTTCTCTTAGCCTGATACCCTCCAAGTACATCCATATTGCTGCAAATGACAAAACGTCTTTCTTTATTTCTTAATTAATACACAATAGTGGTGTCATTGGGAAGTTTAAGATTCTGCAGCCCTGAAAGCAGGTTTACCTAGACCTCTGTACCAGCAGGGTGACCTCTGGCAAGCTACACCACCTCAGCTACATTTAAATAGATTGATACATATAAAATAATAACTCAAGCTAATGGAGTTGAGGACTATATAAAATAAGTTATATAAAACTGAAGACACTTGGCATATAAGATTTTTCAGTTAATGGTAGTTAATGTTTAATACTTAATTTTCAATTAGTGGTAATTAATATTTAGTTAATATTAAAGTACACTGGGTGGCACGTGGTGCAGTCACGTGTGGTTTGAACGCAGTCTCCAAACAAGCACACGCAGTTGTTGGCTCATGGAAATGAGGCTGACCCTCCTGGACTGGCATCTCCCATGGCTTCATCAACCACTAGAATTTCTCTTGTTAATACCATGCTGAGTCCCGTGGTTTTGTTCCCTTCACGATCTGCATCCATGAGATCTTCACCATCAATTCCTGTCAAATGGACCTCTTGGAAAGGCAGGTCCATGATATAGACATAAGGATGGAGACTGGGTAGTTCAGAACTCTGGTAAGTTGAGAATTTAACAATCAGAAGACAGACCTTGTTTTCTTTGCTTGTTTCTTCTAGACAGAGTGTTAAAATCCTCCACAGGCCCCTAAATATGAGAAAGGAGGACTTGGTTGTGTCCAGGATGAAAGTGGGGTGCAGCTGTGTCCAGCCCACCAAGGATGGAGCATCAGGCACCTCCTTCTCAACAGGATGCCTGAAGCATATGTGCACCCCAAAATTAGAGTATTATTTGGATCCCCTGTGCAGAATGGTATTTCAATAATAGGGAATAATCAATAGTAAAAGTTAACAGCAAATGCTAGCTCAGTGTCAACCTTACCCTTATCTTGCCACTGATCCTTGAAGGATGGAACCATACAAGACACAAGACAGCTGTCCCACTTCCCATCATGTGTGACCCCAAGTTCCAGGGCAGAGCGGCTCTGAGCCAGGTAACAGAGAAGCAGAGTGTGAACATGGTTAGAAGTCCAGTCGCCTGTCAACCCCTCTGTGGGGAAAGGGAACACTCTTCTCCCTGACTCTCTCCTTACCCACCTTGAGAGGCAGGCGGGTCAGAGTCCAGGACTGAATCCATCATGACCTCCAGGCAGGCCCCCGAGAGCTGAGACACGGAGTGTTCCACGTCCGGGCGTGGCTTCCTCCTCCACCCGTGGGACGCTTGTTGACGTCCACCTCACTCCCAACCCCCTTTCCGTCTTGTCCTCCGGCACCACCTTCAGGCAGGCTGGTCACACTCTGGCATCCTGTGAGGTGTGCCAGTTGGAGGTGGTGAGATCCCGCAGGTGGGGACCGGGCTGTGGGATCCACACCCACAGAGAGATGCCCTTTGGACAAGGGGACTCACGGCAGCCCCGAGCCAACCAGAAAGCCCTGTCCTGGCTGACGTCCAGTCCGCTGGTGGAATCAGGGGATGCTTATCTCCCCGCCTGAGATTTCTGTGGGTTTTGGGCCCCCTCGTCATCCTCAGAGCAGAAGCATTGGCCTCCAGCACTGAGGAGGAGACGCCCACTCACCAAGATCAGCTCCAGGATCGCTTGCTGGTCCACTCCTTTCCTTCACAATCCCACTTCCACATCCCATCTAAATGAGAATAGTTCATTCCTTCATGCATTCACACACAAGAACACTGAATATTTTCTGTGTTTTGAAGTCACACGTTCTCACTCAGGAGGGCAAACCACTGTTTACCCCAGTTTATTAGCTGAGAGTCCAGTTGTTTCACAGCCAGAATTGACATCTCTGGATGGATTTTCTTGATTTAAAATGAAAGGAAGTCTCAGAACCTTTGCAAAGTAAACAGGAGCTCTCAATGTATCTCAAGTCAGAAACTCTATTTATTATTGGAAACTAAGTGTCCTTTGAAATGACACAGAACCACACTGTAGGGGTCTCAAGGGTGTGATGCAAGGCCAGAGAATTTCCCATCATGCTCTTGGACCCACTGTCAAAAGCTTCAATGTAAAAGAGCTTCTAGAAGCAGCCTCCGCTGTCATTTGTCATTAGTGACTGTATACAGTAATGAATCATTCAGTCACATAAATAATTCTTGAAGTCACTGTGTGACTCCTCCGTCCCTCCAGATTCCTGAAGAAGAATAGAGCCTCTGTCAGGAGACGATGCTGATCAGATCGGCACATCTGTGCTCATCACAGTCCCAGCGGCAATGAGCTCTCTCAGGCGCTGGTCCAGAAACCTCCGAAGGCTCTCACCAAATGGCTCATCCCCACAGGCCAAGGGGACCAGGGTGGGCTTGTGGCTCCAGGACAGGATGATTGGCGGTGAGTCACCGAAGACCGCCCCCACCCCCCACCCCCCGCCCCCGGCAGTGACCGACATCCTCGCCAACCCCAGGGCCGCGGAGAAAGCAGCAGCTCCGGACGGACGCCAGCTTCGTCATCACCCGCACGCCCCCACCTGAGTATTTCTAACTTAGACTTTTGAGGTTTACAATGAGAAGGCCCTTGTTCGACACTCTACTTGTGAAAACCTAACCCTCCCATTAAAAATAGCCAGCCTCCCAAGCACCTCTGGCTTCCAGTCTGTGTTCTCATGAACAGTTTAGAGCACACACTGTCAATGATAACCTTGTGCTATCTCTAAAGACACATTTAAAACTTTCAAAGACACAGAATCTCAGAGGAATAGTATTCATTTTAAAACTCTGAATAACTTCAATCTATTGAAAACTCAGATATCAAGTTTGATTAGGAAACACTGACACTCTTCAGTATACTTCTGAAAGGTTGAGTTGGGTCAGCTTATAGGATTCCATTAACGTGGAAATGTCCCCCGTGGGACCACAGGCCACTTCAAGGGGATGACAGTACAGTCTTCCTCCAGCAAGGCAGCCGATGAAACCTGTTGAAACCACCCTGATACAAAGGTTGGAGATGAATATTCATTTCCGAGTGCAAGCCAACCCCTGTGTGACATTAAACACGCTAGCCTTTTTCAAACAGCTATTCTCAATCACCGCTCTCTGCACTTCCAGATTTTGGCTGGAATGGGAACTGACATTGCCAAGATGCTGAGAAAAGGGAAAGACATGTCTTTTCCTGGCCTAGTTAAAGACAGGAAGGTAAAAAACCAGGCCACAGAATCTGTTTTCACAAGCATCTCAAGAGCTTTATTCAACATATGATGATCAGCTATACATAATTAAACACTGTTTTTATTGCCGATGCATTTCTCAAAAACTTTCCATCGCAGCGGCATCCAAGGGCCAGCTTTCATCTTCCTTCACTCCAGGCAAGAAGGACGTGTGTTAGGTCACCGGCCAGGCGCCCACATTTGTAAGCCCATCCCCACTGCTTCACAAAGAGAGAGTGTTTGGAAACCAACTCATAAAAGCAACTGAAAGCTTTGCTCCATAAACAAAAGAAAAATCCCATTTGGTGATCTTAGACTTTATGAATCTTACTCAAGTACTCAAGATGCTCAAGTGAAGCACAGTCAAATCATTGCGTTTGTTTCCATAAAATATCGTGCTGAGAGCCATGCTGAGATGTGTGGACACAGACCTAAAAAAAAAAAAAAGACCTCCTGTTGTCAATGTTAAAGAAAAGAAAGTTCTAAGAGTGAACATGAAAACAAACAGCAATCAAGAACATCTAAAAGAAACAAAAAGAAAAAAGAACTGTTGGTTTGTGGCTCCAAACCTCCAGCCCCTGCAGAAACTACAGGGATGGAACGTCACAGGAGAGGTAGCCTGGCTCTTCCTCCTCCAAGTTTATCCCAAACGTGCCAGGTACAGCCTAGGAGGGACATCGGATTCAAAACAAGCTTCCTCTTTAAATGTAAACGGTGAGAAAGCTCTGAGTCAACCACACCTTATTGCAAATTAATCTCATTAGACTTTCTTCCTATTTATCAGTTTATGATACTACAATGCTAACAGTTTTAGTGGGCAAGAAACAGGGGCCTCATCAACCCAGGGGGCCCTTTGGGGAAGATGAATCAGCAAATGGCTTGTTTGCATCACTTCTTGTTCCGCCTGTGACTGGAGGAGCTGACGGGCAGGCCCAGAGGCACTCGCTTAGGCAGAACACAGCTGGTTTCTCCTTGAGGAGACGACTGACGGTGCCCAGGGGTCATGCCAGAGAAGCTGGTAGGAAGGAGGCACAGTCATCCCCTTCTTTAAGGAGACATCCCAGAGCTGGCGCCGTGCGCTCAGGGGCGTCTCCCTGTCAGACCCCAGCACGACAGCCACAGGAATGGCTCAAGTTGCTCAAAAGCATCACGTTCGCTCTGTGCCGACACGTGGCCACCCAATGAGCTTCCTGTGCTGCTTAACAACTGACCGTGGACTTGGCGGCTTCAGACGGCACGTCTTCCTTCTCATCCTGCTCTGGGGGTTGGAAGTCTAAAATCAGAAGTGCTGGACCAAAACCACATCCTCCCTCCTGGGCTGCAGAAACCCCGTCCCTCCCTTCAGCCTCTCCTACCCTACATCCTGCAGCCAGCGTCTGGCCCAGTGGTCATTCCCCTTCTGCTTCTGGGCCATCATCACCCCCCCACCTCCCTCCTGAGGACACGGCAGGGGTGTCTGGGGCTCACATGGATGATCCAGGGTCGTCTCCACTCAGTCACCTGCACCAACTCTGCCAAATCAGGGGGCAGCTGCAGGTTCCAGGAACCGGCACACCTTCGGGGCTGCATTTATCTTGCCAGGTCCAACAGAGCTCTCTGAGGACCAGGGAGGCATGGACTCTGCAGGAGCAGGCGCACTGGCCGCAGACAGGCAGGCAGGCCGGGGTCCTTGAACTGCCACCCAGAGGGAGAGGTCTGGGTGTGGCGGTCGCTCAGGGTGAGAGAGGAGAGTGGGAACGGCCCGACATAGACTTTCACGGATTCCCCGTAAAACTTGCAGCTCGGCTACATCCTGTCGGCCACATCTTTTCCCAAAAGCCAGTGAGGGAGATTGCTGCCGTGCAAGTCTTTGAAGCAGCCAGATTCAGAACGGCTCTGCCTGGCCTCCAGATCTTCAAAGTGCAGCAAGAGAGACGCTTCAGGGCCTCGGGGGGTGGCCGCCAGCCGGGCCCCGCTGTCCACGGGTCTTTCATCCCTCTCCATCCCAGCAGGGCTGCTGAGCAAGGTCCTCTGTGGCTGGGCGGCCCCAGGCCAGGCCTCCCCTCCTGGGAGGCACCGGCTCTGGAGAATGTGTCTAAGGCTGCAGGCGAGATCAGCGAGAACAGACGCTGGGACACCTCACTGTCTGACCACTCTCCTCCCATGGGGCAGAGACGCTGGGCCTTTGGCCTTAGCCAGTCGTGTTCCATTAGCATCTTTAACGCTGAGCGAAGGGTGACCCTCGGTTACAATGTGTAACTTCCTGACAGAGAGGGAGCCAGGCTTCTCCCTGCTCCTTCCTAGAAACATGCCGGGACCCACCAGGCCAGACGGACGGAAAGTGCGAATCAGCTACGCGCTAACCGTCTCATGCCTTCGAGGCCAGTCCCGTAAAAATGGACACAGGGTGACGTGTGCCCACTGTAATGCCTTGCTTCCCAAGGAGAGGAGCCTGGTTACTGCCGAGCCCCAGTGGGGGATCTGATGACTGCCTTGTCACCAAAAGCACTTTTTTCAGCTTTATTGAGCTGCGGAAGTGTTCCTGCTCAGTCCTGTTGGACTCTGCAACGCTATGGACTGTAGCCCTCCAGGCCCCTCTGTCCATGGGCTTCTCCAGGGAAGAATACTGGAGTGGGCTGCCATGCCCTCCTCCAGGGGATCTTGCAGACCCAGGAATAGAAACTTGGTGTCCCGCCTTGCAGGCAGATTCTTTATGTCTGAGCTACCAGGGAAGCCGTTTGTTGAGGTATAAATGACCAACAAAGCCAGAAGGTATTTAAAGTACACAGCATGGTGATTTGTATATAGTTTATGCTTGTCACAAAATAAGTCAGTCCTCTGTAAAATGAACATTCCCAGCGCACATCTGCACTGAATCCCATCGCTGTCACACACATCAGTGATGCCGCTAAGAAGCATGTGATCAGCGTTTTCTAGACACTCTACTCGTGACCTCCTGACGTCGCAGCGGTTCCAGTGCGTGTCCAGCGCCGCGCGGGGCTGGGGGCACATGGGGCTGAGACAGGGGGCCGAGTCATCGCACGGGCAGAGCTGTGGGCAGGAGGCAGCAGCAGGTGCTGAGGAGGAGAACTCAGATCGCTCACAGTCAGAGGCACCTGATTGAGGCAAGGCGCCGTGACTCCCCCCGTCCCGCCTCGCCTGTGACTCCAGGTGCCGCAGACACAGCGCAGAGCAGGGCTGGGCCTCCTTAACGTCTTGATTTCAGAGACCTTTAACACGGTTTCCGCAGGCTTATCTTCCAAGGGCCCTGGAGTCTCGGGCTGCGGTCCCCTCGGGGCCCCGCCCCTTCCCCAGCCCGCCCCGCCCCGCTCCCGGCCCTCCCCACCCGGTCCCCTGCCAGGCCCGCCCCGCCCCCGGTCGTCCGCCCCGCCCCCGCCCCTCCCTCCGCCCCCAGCCCCGCCCCTCCCTCCGCCCCCTCCGCCCCAGCCCCGCCCCCGCCCCCGCCCCTCCCTCCGCCCCCCAGCCCCGCCCCCGCCCCCGCCCGCCTCTGGGTCCCAGGCCCTGAAGCAGCTGCAGCCCGGGTGGGTGACAAGTCCTCCAGCCCCCTGAGCCCCGCTATGGCCGCTGCCTTCCACACGAGCAGCCCTCAGGACGCTGGCCGTCCGCCAGCTCACCCCGACTTACCCGCACGCCTCCGAGCCTTTCCGAACCCGTGTTTTCACTCCCAAGAGCATTCGCACATAACGTGTGTTTCCGGCATTTTCTTTTGATTAGAGGGACATCAGGGGGAAAATTCTGTGGTCGCAGCACAGCATATTCAAAAGACAGGCAAAATAAATTTTATAAAAAGAAGCACTTTGGTTTGTGTGTCTTCCTGGTCTACCGGCTCCAGACACGAACAAGCCCGCCCGTGTTCTCTGCAAGCTCCGGGCCCCCAGTGCCGGGCGGCTGTGCCCTGAGTGTGAGCCTCACCCTGGGACCACGGCGGAGCTGACCTCTTTCCCAACATCAGCGTCTTTTCCAATGAGTCGGCTCTTTGCATCAGGTGGCCAAAGTATTGGAGTTTCAGCTTCAGCATCAGTCCTTCCAATGAACACCCAGGACTGATCTCCTTTAGGATGGACTGGTTGGATCTCCTTGCAGTCCAAGGGACTCTCAAGAGTCTTCTCCAACACCACAGTTCAAAAGCATCAATTCTTTGGTGCTCAGCTTTCTTTATGGTCCAACTCTTAAAACCATACACGATTACTGGAAAAATCATAGCTTTGACTAGATGGACCTTTGTCAGCAAAGTGATGTCTCTGCTTTTTATCACACTGTCGAGGTCTGTCTTTTTATCACACTGTCAAGGTTTCTCTTGCACATAAAATGATCCCAAAGGCACAGCCATCCTTTGTACCCATGTGATCTGTGAGGATACCTGTGTGCCCGGGCCAGTTTGTTCAGACTGTCCCCTAACTCTGCCCAGAAAGAATGAAAGCGTGGGTGCTTCAGCCTCCAGACCACCACAGACACTCCGGGTCAGGCCAGCACCCAGCCCTGGGAGGCACACATCTTGGGGTGGTGATGAGAGGACAGGCCTTGGGAGGAGGCACGCTGCCTGTGAGCAGAGCCTCGGAGACGGGCCACATTGAGCGGGACACGTGGGGCCGGGGCTGCCGGCCAGGGCGCTCAGCAAGAGGTGATCAGGGTGGGGGTGGGGAAGGGGGCTGGGCAGCGGGAGCTGGAAGGGAAGGGCAGCCTGTTTGTTGTGTCCAGGGCAGGCAGGAGGAGCTTTAGAGAGCATTTTACAACTACTGTGTGGTTTAGGAGAGCATGGTGCAGGAGGACTGAGGGAGGGCCCTGCCAGCCAGGTACCACACCAGGCTTTAACGCCAGCATGGTGGGGGTAGGCATGTGTGCCTGAGTGTACATGCCTGTACACACACATGCACACGTGACCTGTGACCAGACACACCCTAGCTCTGCCCCTGCTCTGGCCGCCGAGGGGTGTCCCGGGAGCGGGTGGCCAATGGTGGCCTGGTCCCCGGCTCAGAGCAAGAAGGGCCCTCCTCATCCCTGGATGCAGGCAGAAACACGTGGATCTGTAGGAGGATTCCCATGGAGAGCATCGTCTCCCCGGACCAGGAAGACGGACCTCTGCTTCTTCCCAGCAGCTTCACCCCGGGCTCCTCACCTCGACGCCCCAGAGATGACCCCGCACACTGCTTCTAGAAACTGGATGAGATCCTTCAGTTTTCAAGGTGCTGGCTCCCTTCTGGCCAGCACTGTCCACTTGATCCGGGCCGCGGGAAAGCTGGGTGACGTTTAAACGTCTGCTCAGGATTCTCAGATCACTGCGCTGTGATAGGAAAAAGAAAATGGGCAAAGAGAAGCACAAGACACATCAATTTACTGACGATGCAGCGGAGGGGCGGTGCTGCTGGCTATATCAGACTGGACACTGGAGCATTTAATTCACAGAATCACAGCCATTTCCTCCAAAACTGAAAGTGAAAGTGAAAGTCGCTCAGTCGTGTCCAACTCTCTGCGGCCGGTGAACTGAGTATACAGTCCACGGAATTCTCCAGGATACCCACCGGATATCTATCGAATACCTAAAGCCAGAAACAGATACAGCTGAACGGCCAGTGGTGTGAACAGTCTGGATTCTCCAGGCCACAACGCTGTGTCTCTAACCAGAGCCTGTTGGACGCTACCCAATCCCAAAACAACCACAAGGACAGCGAATTTCCCACCATCGGCTGCGTCCCATTTAACTCAGAGGAGGGGCCGAGGCGGGCGATGGACTCGGGTCTGAGGGCGGCGCACGGATGACCCCGCCCTAGGGGTCCTCACCCCGGCCAGCCCCCCGCTGCCCCAGCCCAGCGATGGCTCCCCGCCCGCCGTGGTCACACGCGTGGGTCCCCGGGGTCTGTCGTCAGCCCTCCCCTCCCACACCCGCCCCCTCCCACTAAACCTCTCCCGTTCCCGCGATCTCAGCCTCACTCATACTCTTCCAGACTTACAGATCCAGACCCAGACTCTTCTGAACTCTATTTCCGGGCACGGACCAAATGCTCTTAGCCAGATGTTTCCTAGTGCCTGGGATTCACCTCGGAAAGAAGCCCCCATCCGCCCCCAAGCCTCCTCCACCCCCGGGGACCCCGCCAGCAGCAGGACTTTCTCATCGTCTGACAGTTCTGACTCCAGAGTCTCTGACTTCAGAGACTTCATGACCTTGTCCTCTGAATCCCCCGAGAGGGCCCCTCCTCTCTCACACAGACAGTTCCTCAACACTGTTGATGCTTTCCACAGACTGTACTCTCGCAACAATCTGAGGACTGTTATTATTCAAATTTTATAGATAAGAAAACCGAAGTTCCAAGAGATTAGCCCAGTGACTAAGACCACACAGATGGGCAGATACAAATTCACTATCACGTGCAGATCTGTCTCCCCACAGATCTCAGACTCTGGGGCCGAAGGGATCACAACCTCGTGTGTGACCCACATGCCTCGAAGTCACTCATGAGGCTGTGTGCGCCCTGAAAGGAGGACAGGAGAGCCTTGGTCAGTGTCCAGCTGCCAGGTGACTGTGAGTGATGGGGAGCAGCTACAGGTGACTCTGAATAACAAGGATGAAAAACTGGCTTACAACTCAACATTCAGAACACTAAGATCATGGCGTCCAGTCCCATTACTTCACAGCAAATAAATAGGGAAAAAGTAGAAACAGAGATAGATTTTATTTTCTTGGGCTCCAAAATCACTGCAGATGGCGACTGCAGCCATGAAATTAAAAGAAGCTTGCTCCTTGGAAGAAAAGCTATGACCAACTTAGACAGCATATTAAAGAGCAGAGACATCACTTTGCCAACAAAGGTCCATCTAGTCAAAGCTATGATTTTTCCAATAGTCATGTATGGATGTGAGAGTTGGACCATAAAGAAGCCTGAGCGCCTAAGAATGGATGCCTTCCCCATGTGGTGCTGAAGAAGACTCTTGAGAGTCCCTGGATTGTAAGGAGATCAAACCAGTTAATCCTAAAGGAAGTCAACTCTGAATATTCATTGGAAGGACTGATACCAAAGCTGCAAAACTGTGGTCACCTGACGTGAAGAACTGACTTGTTGCAAAAGACCCTGATGCTGGGAAAGATTGAGGGCAGGAGGAGAAGGAGACGACAGAGGATGAGATGGTTGGATGGCATCACCGACTCAAGAGACATGAGTTTAAGCAAGCTCCGGGTGATAGTGAAGGACAGGGAAGCCTGGTGTGCTGCAGTCTGTGGGATTGCAGAATTGGACATGGCTGAGTGACTGAACAACAACAACAGGTGAAGAGCAGGGCGTCAGGAGTGGAGATGGGATTGCAATCCTCGCTCCGCATGGCCTCACCTTCTTCAAGTCAGCCCCACCCACACAGACAGCAGAGTTTACCTATGGTTCTAAAACTGATCTCATTCAAAGCAGACCTGTCTCTCAACTCTTCACACCTGGAACAGCTGTTTGCCGGCCAGCAAATGAGCCCAGCTTCCTAACAAAGCGTTTACACACTTCCAGCCTTTGCTGCCAGTGCATCAGAGGTCTGCTCGGCAGCACGCCTGCCAGGGTCGGTCTCTGCATTTTGCACATGTGTATCTTCTCTCCAGAGCTCCTGTCCCTCCCCCAGGCTTACCCACCAGTTACCACTGTTACCCTCGGAAACTCAGCTTACAGCTGACTCCTCTGGGACACAAGTCCCTGGCCCCAGGGACTGAGGAGAGGACCCTTCTCTCACCCACGTGACACTCTCTGGTCCCCAGGATGTGGCCCCTTATGAGGAAGAAGTGCTTGCTTGCTCAGGTGAGAGCAGAGCTGTTGGTCTATTCCTGCCCCGGATGCCACTGGGGACCCTTCCCCTCAGCCTCATGGCTTCCAATACCCAAAGCCTGTCTCCCCCTTCACCTGGCGGGCATCTACTCCCCTTTCAGGGCCCGCACATCCTCATGAGCCCCTGGGGTACCTCAAGGACTCACTGGGTTCAGGTGTCACGCCACTGTCCTCCTGACCCCTTGTGACACCATGTTTCAGCTACATGGAGGCTGCTTCTACACCGCGACCACCGTGCGCTCACTCAAATCAGGGTTGGTGGCTTCTGACACTGCCGGGGTAATCAAATCAGGGTTGGTGGCTTCTGACACTGCCGGGGTAGCGTCCTGGGGGCTGCTTACTGTGTTACACGCTGGGGCGACCACTGGAGACCGAGTGCAAGAAGAATGGTGAGCGGACCCTTCAGACTCTGGGCGGCATTCAGAGGAGGCGATGAGAGAGCCTGGGGACCAGGAGGGGCTCCGTCAGCGGGAGGCACGGCCTGCGCTGCGCGCTCACCCCTCATCTTCCCGCCGGTCCTGTGGGCAGCCTGATGCCGGGCTCCCAGGTCCCTGTGTCACCTGCTCACCCACAGTGGGGCCTCTCCTGGGACCAGGTCTGGTTTTGAAAACCCTGAGCCTGGCTCTAAGGCCACATGACATCACTTATATATGATATAAGAAATCTAGAACACGACACAAACGAGCTTATCTATGAAACAGAAACAAAATCACGGCGAGCAGACAGGTGGCCAAGGGGCGGGGGCAGGGCAGGGTGGAGTGGAGGCTGGGGCCAGCAGACGCAAGCTCTTATATGTGGAACCGATGAGCAACAGGTCTTCCTGTCCAGCACGGAGAGCTATACTCAGCATCCTATGAGAAACCATAGTGGAGAAGAACATTCAAAAGAGAATAACTGAATCCCTTTGCAGAAGGGACTCATTAAGACAACACTGAATCAACTCCACTTCAGTAAAAAATATTGATTAACAAAAGCTTGACTGGCTGCTTCCTCTGTTCCATTCTGTTTCACCATGTATCATTTCTCTGTCCTCAATGTTGGGAGTGCTGGTGGGGATGGAAAGCCTGAGCTCATGACGTCGCCTGGATTGGGTCTCCCCGACCTTCTGCAGGGTATCCCCTCCCTTATTTAAGCCATTTCCCCCCAAACGCCTGAATTAAAGCAGCCCTGTCTTCCATCTCCCAAGATCTCCCAATGCTGGAAGGCGGCACCCGCCAGGAGGGGGCTGCCTGCCCCAGCCCACGTCCACACGACACTGCTGACACAGACAGTCTTCTCTGACACAGACGAAGCCCCACCACGGGCCCCCCAGGGGGGGCGGGCTCCACGAGCTGGGGGCTGCTGTCCCCCCAGGACACTGGCGGCGCCTGTCTGCCCCGCGGCCCTGACCCGGCATGTGACCCAGGGCCTCTCGGGCCGGGGCGAAGGGGCCGTCCTGTTGTGCAATCGGCCTCGCAGACGACATCTCCACGCCGAGGAGCTGTGATCACATCTCCCCTGCTAGGTGACTCATGCTCGGCCTTTCATCTTGACCAGCACGGCTGTGTGAGTTGCTGCTGCAGATTAGTCCTTCCATTTCATCATAGCTTGATATTTTATAGACCAGAGCTCTTCAGCAGATAATTGAAACCATCCCTGGCCTCTCAGGGCAGGAGCCCCTCGAGGGAAGCCTAAATAAGATGTTTCCGAATGTTACACATGGCTCTTGTATATGTCAGACTTTTTACATTACTCACTTGACATCCATGTTTGACATTTAAACTTTAAAAGAAGGAGGTTATTACCCAGTGATTATAAAAAGAAATAATCAAAACATTCAAAATAAGAGCATTTTACAAACATGACTAAATCAGATGGTTTTAATTCATTCATTGCAGGATAATAATTAAAATTAGGTGGATTGATTCAGAATCTCAGAACAAAGTGTATTATTTGCTCCCATGAATTTCTTTCAGCTTAAGTAGTTTCTGAACTTAAGTCAACACCATTTCTAAGGTGGAGTTTCCTTACGTGGAAAACAAGATGAGTTCCATGGTGTCAACATCCTATAAACATTTCTTTAGCACAGATCTATTTCAGAGTTATGTAGAAATACTCACTGTGTGCACCATTCTTTACCTGAAGCAATAGCAGGGACTCAATACAGTAATACTTTGGTCACCTGAGGCGAAGAGTTGACTCATTGGAAAAGACCCTGATGCTGGGAAAGATTGATGGTGGGAGGAGAAGGGGACAACAGAGAGTGAGATGATTGGATGGACACAATGGACATGAGTTTGAGCAAACTCTGGGAGATAGTGAAGGACAGGGAAGCTTGGTGTGTGTGCTGCAGTCCATGGGGTCACAGAGTCGGACAGGACTTAGCAACAGATGAATAACTGTGGTACACTGCGTGTTTACCCCTCCCCTTAGATTCTCAGTAGTCCACTCCACAGGGGATTTTAGATCTGTTCTAAACATCACCCCACAGAACTCATACATAGGAGCTGGACTTGATTTTTTAAATAAACCCCATGGAGCCCACCAGGCTTCTCTGTCCAGGGGATTCTCCGCACAAGAACACCGGAGTGGGCAGCCATTCCCTTCTCCAGGAGCCCTTCCTGACCCGGGATTGAACCTGGGTCTCTTGCATTGTAGGCAGGTTCTTTACCATCTGAGCTACCAGGGAAGCCAAGTTATGTACATTCTTTAAAGGAGAAAGGAATTCATACAGGTTCAAAATTTGAGTCTGTCTGTAGAAAGAAGAGCATTAGAGGAAGAATAAACTAAGGTAAAATGAAATCTTTTATTTTTCATATTTAATTTCTCTGAAAGATAGAACTTCGTTTAAAGTAACAGTAGTAACAATGTATTGGGAATGAATACTATATGGATAAGGGAGATAAATGACACGAGGGAGGTACTGGGAATAATTTGTTATGAGGTGCATACACTATTTGTGAAGTGGAAAAGTAGTGCTTGAAGGTGGACTTATATTCACTGAAAATTCATATTGCAAACTTTAAGACAACTAAACATGTTTGTACATGGAGACATCATTTTCTCATGATACTTTTAATCTCTCTCCTGATTCCCGCTCCTCCCACTCCTCTAGGTGTCCTATCATCACGAGGAGGACAACAAAAAGAAAAAAAAAAACAACCCTCACAGCATAGATGTTATGTCTTCCTCCTTACTGCATTGATGCTGATGAGATAGGACAACAAAATCTGTTTATTTAAGAACTATAAATAAGATTCTGAGAGGAGGTAAAATGAAATCATAAAGTGCTCAATTAAAACCAGAGAAGCCAGAAAAGATAGAAGAAAACTAGAAACAAAAAAAAAGCACAGTGAATAGAAAATAGTTACAAACATGGCAGATATTAATCTAAATACATCAGTTATCACTTTAGATGTGAATGATCTATACACCAATTAAAATGCAGAGATTTCAAAAGCATATGATAAAACAAGACTCAAGTATATTCTGTCTATAAGAAATCCATTGTAAAAATATAAACTTTCACAGATTAAAAATAAAGGGATATAAGATTAGGAACAAGACAAGGGTACCCACTCTTGCCACTATTATTCAACATAGTTTTGGAGCTCCTAGCCATGGCAATCAGAGAAGAAAAAGAAATTTAAAGGAATCCATATTGGAAAAGAAGAAGTGAAGCTTTTACTGTTCCCAGATGACATGATACTATACATAGAAAAACTCTAAAGATACTATCAGAAAAGTCCTAGAATTAATCAGTGATTTTGGTAAAGCTTCAGGCTACAAAATCAATGCTTAGAAGTCCCTTACATTCCTATACAATAACAATGAAAAATCAGAAAGAGAACTTAAGGAATCAACCTGATTCACTGTTGCAACAAAAAGAATAAAATGCCTAGAAATAAACCTACCTAAGTAGACAAAAGAGGTACAGACAGAACACTGTAAGACACTGGTGCAACAAATCAAGACAACACAAACAGATGGAGAGATACACCATGTTCTTGGATCGGAAGAGTCAACATTGTGAACATGACTATACTATCCAAGGCAATCTACAGATTTAATGCAATCCCTAGCAAATTATCAATGGCATTTTTCACAGAACTAGAACAAAAATGTTCACAATTCATATGTAAACACAGAAGACCCCAAATAGCCAAAGCAATCATGAGAAAGAAAAATGGATCTGGAGGAATCAACCTTCCTGACTTCAGACTACACTACAAAGCTACAGTCATTAAGACAGTATATTGGCAAAAACAAACAAAAAACAAAAAGAACTATGGACCAATGGGACAAGATAGAAAGCCCAGAGATAAACTCATACACCTATAGGCACCTTATCTTTGACAAAGAAGGCAAGAATATACAATGGAGAAAAAAAAATACCCTCTTCCCGTCCATGGGATTTTCCAGGCAAGAATACTGGAGTGGGTTGCCATTTACTTCTCCAGGAGATCTTCCTGACCCAGGGATTGCACCCAGGTCTCCTGCATTGTAGGCAGATGCTTAACCATCTTGAGCCACCAGGGAAGATCCTTCAATAAATGGTGCTGGGAAAACAGGATAGCTATGTGTAAAACAATGAAATTAGAAGACTTTCTAACACCATACACAAAGATAAGCTCAAAATGAGTTAAAGACCTATATGTAAGACCAGAAACTATAAAATTCTTAGAGGAAAACATAAGCAGAATAGTCTTTGACATAATTCACAGCAAGATCCTCTATGACCCACCTCCTAGAGTAATGAAAATAAAAACAATGGTAAAGATAACCCTATATGCAAAACAGAAAAAGAGACACAGATGTACAGAACAGACTTTTGGACTCTGTGGGAGAAGGTGGGGGTGGGATGTTTCGAGAGAACAGCATCGAAACATGTATATTATCTAGGGTGAAACAGATCACCAGCCCAAGCTGTATGCATGAGACAAGTGCTCCGGCCTGGTGCACTGGGAAGACCCAGAGGGATCAGGTAGAGAGGGAGGTGGGAGGGGGGATCGGGATGGGGGATACATGTAAATCCATGGCTGATTCATGTCAGTGTATGAAAAAAACCACTACAATATTGTAAAGTAATTAGCCTCCAACTAATAAAAATAAATGGAAAAAAAAGAAAATAAAAACAAAAATGAACAAATGGGGCCTAATTAAGCTTAAAAGCTTTTGCACAACAAAGGAAACAATAAAATGAAAAGACAACTCTCAAAATGGGAGACAATAACTGAAAATGAAGCAACTGACTGACAAAGAATTAATCTCCAAAATTTACAAGCAGCTCATGCAGCTCAATATCAGAAAAACAAACAACCCAACCAAAAAAATAGGCAGGAGACCTAAACAGACATTTTTCCAAAGAAGATATACAGATGGCTCAGCACATGAAAAGATGATCAACATCACTCATCACTTCAGTTCAATTCAGTAGCTCAGTCATGTCCGACTCTTTGCGACCCCATGAACTGCAGCATGCCAGGCCTCCTTGTTCATCACCAACTCCCAGGGTCCACCCAAACC